CTTAAGTGAGGAAAGAATCAGATTCATTCATTAACTTATTTCTCTATTTTTTTTTTGGTGGGGGGAGCTCCTGTCACGTTCCAGAACCAAATTAGATGCTAGAATTACCATGATAGATAATAAAACACTCGCATTTGTATTTAGACACACTTATTACTGGAGTTGTTTTGTGAATGAAATGAGACCATGATTTAGTGTAGGACCCTGGTCCAAGAGTTTACTTCAACTAATGTTAGAAAATTTGGGAGGTAGATAAGAACTGCCTTAAAAATATGGAAAGGGTTCTCAATTAGACCTTTTCTTTGTGGCTCCAAGGACTATAGTCAGGACAAATGAGGATAAGTCAATGGGGTGAGTCTGAGTTTGACAAGAAGTTTTGACAGTAGGAGTTCCTTGAGGAAGGAGTGAGCCCCTTCTCACTCAGAGTCTGAGAAGAAGCTGTGTGATTATCTGTTAGGAATCCCATTAAGACAATCCTTAATTGAGTATGAGGATGGTAGCCATCAATGTTTTATATTTTTAAACAATTTATTGAGTGCTTGTTATGTACCCTACCATGAACATTGTATGCGCCCTTGAATTTTTGCCTTACTCTTCATTGGAACTCTTACAGAGAAAGTGGAGCTATTCACTTTCTCTATGAAGGGGGCCTCTGTTTGGACTAGTTTCCCGACCAGTGCAGAACCATTCTAGAAGGACAGTACAGTAAGTCTCTGTCCTTTAGGAAAAAGTGTCAGAGATCTATGGATATTGGAGAAGAAAGAGAAAGCTTACAGGCCAAAATGTTGGTGCTTTTCACTTTAGCAAATCTTCCTAAATTCAGGGCCAGTTTATCATTGAGAGCACCTACTTCTTTCCTTTGTCCTCCTTCTTACCTTTCCTCTATTTTATAATATATCGCACATAGAAAAGAACATATAGAATACACACACACAGTTTAAATGGCAGTAACAGTAATAAAACAACACAAATGCTCATAAGTCTATCATGCAATTTAAGAAACAGCACAAGTACTCAAAAATGTGAGGAGGGCTAAGAGGTACAAACTCCCAATTGTAAAATAAATGAGTCACAGGGGTGTAATGTACAGAATAGGGAATATAGTCAATAATGTTGTATAAGTTCGCAGGGTGATGGATGGTTACTAGACTTAGGATAGTCACTTTGTAAGGTACATAAAAGTCAAATCACTATGTTGTACACCTGAAACTAATATAATATTGTATGGCAACTATATTTTAAACAATAGAAATAAAATTTGTTTCCTATAGAAATTCCAACAGTAAAATAAATAAATAATTTTAAATGTTTCACATTACATGAGAAGAAATAAAATAGTATGATCTATTTCTGCAAGCATTTACATGCTGCTTACCTAGCTCCCATTCTTTACTGCTACTCGGGCAGCCAGCTCCCACCTAATTCCAACCCATTTTCTTCTCCCCTAGGATAGATGCTATGCAGCTATGAAATGTAGAAACATTTTTTCATCTGAAGAGGAATTCAGTTGGTTCTCCAGCTTTTTGTCCTTTGCCAAATAATACAGGTTATTTCCAGGCACTGCAGAATTTAGTGTGGGACTCTCAATACCATCAGGATGTCAATCAGAAGGCTTTGAGTACATTAAGTCTAAGTGTGTTTTGATTTTTTTCCTGACAGTTTAAAAATTCCATGTATGTATATGTCAGGCACTGCCTACCATTTTTCAGGAAGGACAGAAAAGAACAACTACCCATTTCAGACACGAGGGTGAATAGGGCCCAGTTTCCTGCTCTTAGGGGTCTCAAAACCAGATGATATATATTTTTTCTACTACTTTTTTTTAGAAAACAAAAATGAGAATAACTTATAAAAAGTCTTCCTGAAGTCCTGGATGGGAGGTTGTGTATTTTCATTTTATTGCAACCAGACTACTTTGCAGGCCTCTGTGGCTGTAACAGTGACCATGTGCTCCAACCACAGGTTCATGGTGCATGTACTCTCAGGCCACAGCCAGGCAGTGCTCACGCAGGCATGATGCGGGGGGCAAGAGGACAGTCAGGGTCCAGAACCCAAATTAAAACCATCCATTGTTCTTCAGATGCAAATGTAGGACAACCACAGAATTTTGCTGTTATTATTTTAAAAACCATTTAGTAATTACTTGCCAACTATGTGCCCGGCCCAGTACTATGTAGTGTATGAACATTGGTTCATGCTAGTCCATAGGAACTGCTGCAGCCCCCATTTTGAAATGCAGGAACTGAAACTCAGAGGTCAAACCACTAACTCAAGGTTACTCAGAAGTGGCAAACCTAGGACAAACCTAGTGGCAAACCAGGGCTCTCTACCTCCAAAGCCCCCATTTTTATTTATTTAAAAAATCTTTAGGTGTTTTTTTAATGCTTTAAAAAAAACAGTTAAGGTATAACTGACATATAACATTATATTAGATTCATATATGCACCATAATGATGGGATAGTTATATATATTGCATAATGATCACTATCTTAACTAATGGTTACATGTCTTAACCATTTGTACTATAAGCAAATAATTTTAATCTGGCACATGTTAATATCTACAGGGTGTGGCAGCAAATGGATGGTAGTTCAGGCAATCTGTGCACCTCAAAAAGAAAAACTGGAACCCAGGCAGATGGCCAAAACAGAGATAGGGTGGCCAGGGAGGTACATGCCACAGCAGAAGTCTGCCAGTGTTTCGGGTGTCTGCCACTGGGCTCCATTTCTAGAAGAGGTAAAGTGGAGAGGAGGAGAGAAGCAAGGAACATGACCTGGGCATACAGAGAACCAGAGTCTGGCTGATCTGGTAGGGGCCTCAGGCTGGGGAGGCAGCTGGTGGTCAGAACTGCGGGCTGGAGCATGTAGGATGAGATTGAGTAGCTGGGTGCATGCTGAATGAAACCCCACACACGGGTTTGCTCTGTCTTGAGTCACATAGGGCTTGGCTTGCCAAGCCTTAGATTTAAACATGAGCCTATTTTGGGGGCAGTAAATGCCTCATGTCCCAGGAAAGAAGCAACTGGGAATATTAGGATAGTTTCCCAAACTCTCCAAAAGCATCTTTCAGAACTCTAGTCATTTTTTATTTTTTGGTGTTTAAGTAGGTACTTTTAAAAAGCTCCATTTTATATTGACTGTTTTTAAAAATTTTCCTTAAGAAATTCTGAACAGTCTTCAGGGTGTGTCCAGGTAGATGTGTTTTTCAAAGACATGAATTTATAGATCTGACTTCCATTTCTTTGATCTGTACTACTATTCTTAACTGAAATTCTGAAGTTAATGTTTCAGCTCAACTTTGTTTTCTGAGACGGACAGGAGTTACCTGTTCCAGAAGGACTGGTTTACTGGGTATAGTAATGCCTGCTGTGCTTAAATATGAGGAAGAACTAATTAAAAGGGGGACAGAGTGAACTTTCTTAGAGTTTGAGTAGGCTTCACTTCTAGTAACACATTTTGGCAAAGAATTGTTGTTATGTTATCTTATTCTTGCACCTTTAAACTTTTATGGCAATTTTCTTTTCATGTTCCATGACAAGGATTTGCCCGGTAGTGTTGCAAGAGCTGAGTGCAAAGGGTGGGAATATAATGAGCAGTTTTAGGCTGTAGGTATGCAAGGTATCCGTCATCTGGGGCACTCCCCCACAGTCTCTAGAAAAGCATTCATTTCTCTTTGTGTGTCTGTGGGTTAGTTTTATGGGAACTACAAGAAACCATTTAGAGTCTGAAAGCAAACTACATGCTGTTCATCAGAATGCTACTGTACTTAGAAATTCCACAACTGGATCAGGAGTTGATATGTGACTTCAGGATGATATAGGACAAGACATTATCATTTCTTTGCTTATTTGTTGCTAGAAATCAAATTCAATTCACTGTGGGGGCAACTTTGCCCACAAAGTCCCCTTCCCTTTCACCACAGATGAAAGTGAAACTACCAAGACATGATCTGCTTGGGGAGCAGAGGTGGTTAATCTCTCAGAGAAGAAAGGCCAAGAGCCCATTCCTCAAGGGGCTTTTATTGGGTTCATTTGCACAAGAATATATGTAAGGATCAAACAATAGATAGCATTCAAAGAACTATGAGGGCTTATTCTCAGTAAGGGTCAGATAGCTAAAGAGCCATAAAACTTTGAGGAACAAACTTCTTGCTTAGAGCCTTATTATTTAAATGAGAGCATTCTAAACAAAGCAGGTTTCACAGGATTTTACATATTCTTTCTCAGGCCTGATCACCCAGGATCCTGCTCTAGCCGGCAAAGGGCTGCACCGCCTTCCCCAGCACTGGTTTAAGTGGATTAGAGCCAGGAAGTGCTTCTCCCAGACAGAAGCGGGCACTTGGACTATGTCAGAATAGCTGGGGGGCGAGGGTCCATCACTCCCTCTTTGTTGCAGCCCTGAGTCCTTCCATGATGGCCTCCCAAGTGATAGTAGTGTCTGGCTTAGGTTGCCCCTCTTCTGGGGGGTCGTACCCGTCATAGACTAACTGACCAAGCATTGGGGGCAAGAGATGAGGCAGAGACAAGCTTTGTCTCCTTAGTGGCTTGCATTCTGGAGGTCACTCACTCAGCCTTAGCCATGTGGGGCAGTTACAACTCCCGAAACAGGGCAGAGCGGTTTCCAACAGTTCACCTTAATTTAGTTCATTTATAAAGCATTAGTTGAATACCCTCTTTATCTGTTCACTTTTCAGAACTAAGTAATGCCCAGGGAGTGTTTTCCTAGCTTGAAAAAGAAGGCATCAGCTTTAGGTCCTTTGATTCTCTCATTCCCACCACCGGTTGTAATTGGCCTTTCCCCACTGGAATGTGTCCCTGAGATGGCTTGTCAGACATCATTCAAAAGTGAAACAAGTCTATAAGATTCAATGTAAATAAAAAAGGTCAGACATGTTCATCTCACATATGTCTACTTTATTCTAGAAAGAAATCAAGGTGGAATGGTGGCAAGATTATGTGGGAGAAGAAATGTGTTTCTTGTACTAAAACCACAAGATAGATTCAACACTTTCCAAAATGTACAAATTTACGTTTGTTGTCAGTTTTCTTGTGGAAAGGAAAGAGTAACAATGAGAAATGCTGAAGCCATAGGCACTTTATTAGCATCTAAACTTCACCAATGACCCCCCTAAATGTCACTCCATTTACTGATGCATTTAAGAGGAATGACTGCAGTTTAGAATGTTTTAGCAGCTATTGCTAGTTACATAAGATTAATACTCCAAATACATCACAGTTTATGTCCCTGAAAACATATTTTAATGGTAATTTAAAGGGGATGCACAATTAGATAGTTCTTATGATATGATTATAATGTTTTTCTTATTAAAAAAGAACCAGAAGGATATACCATATATATGGAGGTTTGTTTTCATTCGTGTATATTTTGAAAAGAGTTAAAAGGAACTATATAGTTCTATACATTCCAGTATATAATTTATCACTTAATATTTTAAGCTGGTGCTAATATACCTTATAGACAATTACTGTCTATAAACCTGTAACCTTTAAACTACTATGGGCTATTTGATTTTATAAATTTAATTTTTGTTGGTGCTCTAACATATGTATTTTGTGGAGAAATCATACTTTGAAACAGAAGAAGTTCTTTAGGTTTTCCAGATATCATCCCCCTTTGGTACCAATCATTAGGGGGTTCTAGTGTATTCAAACTTAGCTGAAGCTCAACAATAAACAGGGCTCATTCGAACAGATGCAGACTGGCACACCTAGGAGGAGGGACATTCCTCATTCCAGGAAACAGACTATGAGATGACTTGGTGACTTTCTTGTATAGGAAGTTTAAGCAATAAATCAGTAGTTGAAAGTTGAATAAACCCTTTAGTTTCCTTCCAACGCAGAGATGTTAGGCTTCTCTGATTACTACTACCAGAAGGTGTTTGGTTACAGTAACACCAGGGGGCGACTCCAGATCATGTAAATGGTGAGCATTCTGTTCATCAGGGTCAAGGGGAGGTGATGCTCATATTCCTTATGCCCTAAACCACTTCTTGGAATTGAGATGCATTTATCTTAACATGTAATTATTAGACCTTAACTATAGAAAAGAAAAATATTTTGATACTTACATAACTTTATCACAAAAGGTGCAATCATTGCTATAAGTTGTGCTATCAGATCCACAAATTGGTGCATATATGGAATAACAAATTCTCCCTTCTCCTGGTAGCAACTTTTTAAACGTACTGCAATCAGTCTGAAAATACATATTACATACCTTCCATTTCTTTAGCCAAGTCTCTATTCCCAGGATTTAGAATTTTACAAGCAAGTTGAGAAGACTCTCAGTGCATTCACTTCTTATTCCCATTGTTTGTCCTCCTCTAACCTCTTTGAAATAGGTCAAGTATACAGATTTTTATATCAGATATAAAATCTGTAAATTTTAAATTTCTGATAAATTTCTTTCTGATAAATTTCTTTGTGGTAGCTGGTACCCAAATCAAAATATATTTAAATATGGAATCTATTCCACAGCACCAAAGTGTCAGTTTTCAGCACCCATGCCACATTCAGCTCCCTGCTATTTCTCTTTCACTTGAAAAGTTGTATCCAAATATAATTGTGAGATGTTTTATAAAAATAAATATCATAGTTTTAATAACTAGCACATCACTGGCAACTTTTACCATTAATTATTGGTAACAAATTACTTATTCTACCCATCACCAGTACATAGACAGAGAAATGTATGTTAACATTGTAGTTGTGAAGCACTGTTTGAAATTCAGGGAGCAAAGCCAAGGTGATGAGCCATGGTGGGAAGACAAAGCCATTACCATGAAAGAATTTTCTGGGTTTTCATCTATAAGCAAACTGAAGAGTATGGCTAGTAAAGTAATATACATTAGAACTCAAATCCTGCCTATATGACCCTGGGATGATTATTTCACCTCTCTAAGCCTTAGTTTCTTTATCTGCAAAATGAAAGTGATATACCTACATTGTCAGGTTTAAGTAACAAATATGTAACTGAGAAGATAGGTGTAAAATGCTGAGCACTGCATGGCATGGAAAATACTGAATGAATAATAGCTATTATTTCTACCAACTGGCTTTACTTCCAGGTCTGCACAAACTCCAGCTCCATACAGGAGACTGTGGTTCCAGCTCTTTCCACCCGAGATCTCCTGACATGATATTTTACTAATTGGTGGATATTTATACTTGGATAACCTGTATGCTCCAACTTAAAGTCAAATTCCTCCTGCCCTTCGGATATGTTGTAGGAGTTAAGTTATTCATTCCTTCGGTTACTAAGCTCTAGGCAACCTTTTAAATCTTTGGGCTGAGCTGAGTGTTGGCAATACAGAGATTGGCAAACAAGATGTATCAGCAGAGTGACCTCAGAGGCTAGTGGAGCTGAACAAAACTCGTGGCACTCCATGCTGAGAATATGCCAGTGTGAATGATTTCCCTTCCTCTCCTTGCCTGCTCAGGCCCCAGTGCCAGAACTGATGTAATACAATGTGATCAGGAAACTACCAAGGCTTCATGCCCATGAAACCTTTTCCTCCTCACACATCCACTAAGTTGTGAAGGATGGCTTGAATTCAGGGTAGCCTGGGTTCAAAATTTATGTTCTTAACTTCACTGTTTCCTTTAATGTATTAAAACAAATGACTCAAAGCAGTGAAAGGAGGTGACCAAAGCCTAAGGGTCACACAGCTAGAAAGGAACCCCAAGTGTCTGACAGCACTTGGTTTAAAAATGTTTGCTATTCTACATTTTTCTCTACAGTAGTCATAACTTGAATATGAGCCATGAAGGAAAGCTTACTGTAAAATCTTCATTCTTTAGGATAGAGGACAAAGACGTATTTAGTCCATTTAAAAATTATAAGAATCTGGACTTGTCCTTACTGAGTTTTACTCTGAGGGGGTACTGCCCCGAACCCCCATACACTATGGGGGTTCCCATACACTATGGCTTTAAGTCTCACAGTAATCTTACAGCCAAGTCCTGTTACATGGCCACATGATCCAAGAGCTGAAATTGAAATCCAGGACTTTATAACCCTTATGCTAAGTTTCTAACAATTTTGTTCCTTTACCTCCATTTCAGAAAGGTCTGCGTACAGTTTTTGAATAGAAGCAACTTTGATACTTAAACAATATAATTATATACTGATACTGGCTTTAAAAATACATAACAGTAGGACTTTTATATCAAGATAGGTGTACTGACCTGCTGACCATGTCTGGTACATTCTACATCTCTAAGAAAAAACAAGTACAAGAAAAAAATTAACTCTGGAAGAATCTGATCTTATTAGAAAAAAAATCTTTGCTTAATGTCTCAGTTCTGTTAACCTGTCATAAAAATATAAAAGTCTCTTCAGAACTTTTGTCTCAGCATAATATCAAAGGTTGAAGCTCAACACATTAATTCACTTACTTATTTATTTTGGAACAGAATTAGAATGTAGTCAAAAGGATAGAAACACTTATAATAATGAGGAGTTTGTCTTATTCTTTCCTACCTGATAATCAGAGCTCAGAAAATATTTTAAAATTCAAAGGAGTTTTCTATTAAGGAAGCATCTGCTCTTCTGTAGCAATCATAGACAACCATGGTTGAAGATTCTAGAAAGTCAGATTTTAACTCAACAGTGGAAGGGAAGTAACAGTTCATGGTGCCAAACAATGGATTGGGCTGCTCTGTGAAGAAATTAGGTCTCTATAGATAATTGATATCAAGTAAGAGCAGACTCTGGATGAACACTTTCTAAAGAAATTACACAAAGTCTACGGGTAAGAATTTCACCTTAGTTGACCATTTAGGTCCACTCGAGTGTCTTATATAATAACGATTTAGTGATTTATTGGTGGAGACCAAAAAATGCCTTTCCAAAAGTTCCCCTTGTTATCTATGTGATGTATGTATCCCAGAATGATGTGGGCAGAGGATGGCATGAGCAATCGGTACTTATGTAGGGGCAGTGCTATGCAGTAGATACTCACTGATGGTGGTTGTGAGTGCCAGAGCCAAGAGCAGGGCCAAGGCTGTCACTCGCATGCTGCTGGAGATGCCAAGGGCAGTCAGATGGAGTAAAAGAAGTGATTTTTCTGGTGTCTGCCAGTGCTGCCTTATATAGTGTTAAAAGTTCCTTCCTCAATTGTGAAACAGCTATGTGCAGGAATCAGAACCCTCAGAAGAGGCCAGAAACACCTCTTTCCTGGGTATAGAAGTTCTTTTATTGTGAAAGACATTCTAATAGGTCATAAGACCTTGTAAAAAAGTAATAGGACCCAATAAAACTGGCATTATATCCTTTTATCTTTATGTCCTTAAAAGTTTCAGAGCTTTTAAAATAATTTAAAAAATAATTATATTTAGCTATTTTTCAAGTACAGTTTTTTGTCTATTTCCCAGCCCAGCCCCCCCATGCTCCCCACCTCCCTCCCATTTCCACCCCCCTTAGTTCTCGTTCCTGTGTCCTTCCTATTTGTTCCTCCAAATCCCTCCCCCTTTTTCCCCTTAAATTCCCTTCCCTCTCCCCTCTGGTCACTATCCCCTTGTTCTCTATTTCAATGTCTTTGTTTTTATTCTGCTCATGTGTTTGTTTTGTTGCTTACCTTCCTGTTAAAGGTGAGATCATATGGTATTTATCTTTCAACACCTGGCCTGTTTCACTCAGCATAATGCTTTCCAGTTCCATCCATGTTGTTGCAAAGGGTAGTAGCTCCTTCTTTCTCTCTGCTGCATAGAATTCCATTGTGTATATGTACTATCATTTTTTGGTCCATTCATTTACTGATGGGCACCTAGGTTGCTTCCAACTCTTGGCTATTATAAATTGTGCTGCTATGAACATTGTGGTACATAGGTTCTTTGATATTGATGTTTTAGGATTTTTAGAATATAATCCTATCAGATAAATTGCTGGGTCAAAAGGCAGGTTGATTTTTATTTTTCTGAGAAAATTCCATACTGTTCTCCATAATGGTTGTACCAGTCTGCAATCCCACCAATAGTAAACTAAGGACCCCTTTTCCCCACACCGTCTCCAACATTTGTTGTTTGTTGCTTTGTCTATTATAGCCATCCTGACCAGTGTAAAGTGGTATCTCATTGAGGTTTTAATTTGCATCTCTCTGATAGCTAACGATATTGAGCATCTTTTCATGTGTCTCTGGATCCTCTGTATGTCCTCCTTGGAGAAGTGTCTGTTCAATTCCTTTTCCCATTTTTTAATTGGGTTAGTTGTCTTCTTAGAGTGGAGTCGTGTAAGTTCTTTGTATATTTTGGAGATTAAACCTTTGTCTGAGGTATCATTGGCAAATATACTTTCCCATACAGTTGGTTGTCTTGCTAATTTAATACTGTTTTCTTTAGCCACGCAGAAGCTTTTTATTTTGATGAGATCCCATTTGTTTATTCTTTCCTTTATATTCCTTGCTCTAGGGGACATATCAATAAAAAAGTTGCTGTGTGAAATATCTGAGATTTTCTTGCCAATGTTCTCCTCTAGGACTTTAATGGTGTCACAGCTTATATTTAAGTCTTTTATCCACCTTGAATTTATTTTGGTGTATGGTGTAAGTTGGTGCTCGAGTTTCATTTTTTTGCACATAGCTGTCCAGTTCTCCCAACACCATTTGTTGAAGAGGCTATCTTTACTCCATTTTATGTTACTGCCCCCTTTGTTGAATATTAATTGACTGTAGAGATTTGGGTTGATTTCTGGGCTCTCTGTTCTGTTCCATTGGTCTATGTGCCTGTTTTTATGCCAGTACCAGGCTGTTTTGATTACAGTGACCTTGTAATACAGTTTGATATCAGGTATTGTGATCCCTCCTACTTTGTTCTTCTTTCTCAAAAGTGCAGCTGCTATTCAGGGTCGTTTATGGTTCCATATGAATTTTTGAAGCATTTGTTCTATGTCTGTGAAATACGCCATTGGTACTTTAATAGGTATTGCATTGAATCTGTATATTGCTTTGGGTAGTATGGACATTTTGATGATGTTAATTCTTCCAATCCATGAACAAGGTATATGTTTCCATTTGTTTGTGTCTTCCTTGATTTCGTTCTTCAGGGCTGTGTAGTTTTCTGCGTACAGGTCTTTTACCTCCTTGATTAGGTTTATTCCCAGATATTTTATTTTTGTTTTTGCTATATTGAATGGGATTTTTTTCTTGATTTCTGCTTCTGCTGATTCATTGTTAGTATACAAAAATGCCTTTGATTTCTGGATATTGACTT